GTTGGCCGGCTGGACCTGGCCACCCCAGGGGCTTCCTAGGAAGTGCTGACTTGGGGAATGGGGCCTCAGAGAGCCAGGCATTATCAGTGTGGAACTCCTCCTCACCCCACTCTTGTCTCAAGATGGGGTGAGGGCTGGAGTCTCCAGGGCTGGGGGTACAAAGCTGCCTCTGTGTCAGAGATAAGTCACAGCAGCTGCCTCTGATGTGTTGTCAGAAAGCAAAAATAGACCAAGTCTCTGTTTCCCAGAAGAGGCCTGGTATGGGGCTGGGGCAGGCTGCTGTCTGCCTTTGGCCTTGAGCAGACTATGCCCTGTATTTGGTCAGGAGCCTGACTGGAGCCACCTCCTCCCACCTCCCTCCTCTCTCCTGAGGCCCAAGCCCTTTATCATCAGAGGAGGCAAAGGCTGGCTAGGGAAAGACTTTCCAGACCTACCCATCTATCTTCCACCTCCATGGGACCTCTTGGATGGGGCTGCCTGGGGCATAGGGCTACAGAGCCCAGGACATAGGACCGGCCCAGGGTTGGGGCAGTGCTGGCAGGCACAAGCTTGGGCAGGACAGAGAACCAGGCAGACACAGTGGGCTTTCACTCAGCGTCCTCCCCGGAGGGCTTTTCCTGGCTAACGTAGTTGGGAGGACTATGACCACAGCCGGCCTCAGGCTGGACCAGGAGGTTGCCAGAGAAGGGCAGGGGTCCAGTCCAAGACCCAGCACACTCTTGAAGCACACCCTGTTCCCCAAGCCCCAGGGAACCCCGAGGGGTTCTTGGGCGATGTATGTGGATCATAGATAGTACCTGGAGCAAGATGCTCACTGTCATTTCTGGGGCACGGTACGTGCCAGCCACTTCGCTCACATGTCCCTTCTAGTCTACCCCTGTGGGAGGATTGCAGCTGTGTTGGGCTGGGGCTGAGAGTCACCCCATCAGGAACCGAGGTGTGGTGGGGATGGCAGGCCCAGGTAGAGCGTTAAGACCGTGTCCCCCATTGCCAGAAAGGCTGGGCTTTGGGGAGGCAGTAGGGCAGCAACACACATGCTAGGCACCCTGAGCCCTGCCCAGCTCCTGGCTCTACAGGAGGCCAGTGTGGGGACAGGCAAGAGCCCAGGTCTCTGTGCCTTTGTTCTCGCCTGACAGGGCGGGGTGAGTGAAGGGGGTGAAAGCACCAGACTCCACCAAGCCTTCTCCCCTTCGTCACTCTGCACCCCCACTCTGCACCCCACCATGCACCAATGTGTTTGTGCCCCACTTCTCGGCTGTGGCACATTTTGGAGGTGGATGTAAAGAAAATTCCAACTGTTTTAAAATAGATTTCACAAGGGAGTGCAGAGGGGAGAGGCCGGGAAGTGTTCATCGTGCCTTTGCTTTAAAATAGGCCAGTGTGAGCCTCAGGTGTCCAGGCTGCCACGTCCCCAAGGCTTCCGCGCCAGCCCCGGGGACAGCCATTTCTACTAAGGGCCACATGCTGTTTCTAGGCTTTGGCTCTCAGATCTGAGCGCTACGTGTTCTAATGGTATTTGTGGCTGTGTGCGTGGAGTGGGTGAGCGAAGAGAAGTGTGTATTGAAGCTGTTGGGTGACACTGCCCAAATCACCCTCCAATGAAGATGTGTTCGCACATGGGTGTACAGGAGGCGGCGAGGGCCTGCCCATGCTCACCTTGGTACAGGGCTGCCTGGGATGACCACAGAGGGATTGACCAGCACCCTAGAGGCCTCTGTGCTTGTCAACAGCAAGGCCAGTATGGTCACACTGTCCCAAGCACGCATGGAACATACTGGCCCAAAGAAGTTGTTGAGGATGAAATCAGGGACACTGGCCTGTGTACAGACTCGGAACACCCAGACTCCTATTTACACCTGCCTGGCCTCCTGAATTCATTCAGGGCCACTGTGGGGCGAACCTCGTGGGTGGTCTTCTTGGAGAATCCCATAGCAGCAGGTGGTTTTCCCTGGAGGGTCCCCTACTTTTGTGACCTCACCTGTGGACAATCCAGGGCCCAGTGAGCCGGTTCGGATCCCCAGAGGACTCAGCTCCTCCCACTGCACTACTCCACCAGCAGGAGGCCAGAAGTTGGGCAGCAAACTGGCAGCACAGCTTTAAGACCAGCCTCTATGGAGAAGGGCTTACTGGCTGGAGGTCAGTCTGGGCAGGTAGCAGCACCATTCTTCAAATTTGAAATGAGACAGAAGTTGGAAAATGTAAGTAAGGGGCAGATGAGCTTCAGGCACAGCTGGGTCCCGGGTCAGACAGCGTTAGGTGTTAAAGGTTGGACAGAACTCCCTGTCTCTGCCTTCCCTTGGGTAGATTTATTTGCATTAACTGTTTCCTGTTAGACATGAGTGGCCATAAGAAGCCTAGGCCTAGAGCTTCTCTCTGCTTCCAATAGACTTCTAAGTGTCCCGCATGCTGCAGGTTAGCCAGTCTGGGCCACGTGCCCATCCCCAGGCCAGTCAGTGTCTCACGGACTGGACAGTGATGATTAGTAAGCCTGTGTCACGTGTCCATGCCACATCTGCAGTGCTTCCAAGGTAGCTGGTCTGGAGAGAGTCATTTTCAGAGGAAACAGAGGGAGCAAATCCCTAAGGAAGGGAATGCGTGGCAGATGGCAGAACCACTTGTGTGTGGTGTGGCTAGGGGTGGTCAGTGAGTGCCCGGGGAGAACAAGTATTTCTAAAGGTAAAAGCTCAACTCAGGCACTGGGGCTTCATTTGGGTACAAAAATGCTGCCAGGATCCACCTCGCCAAAACCACGTGGAGCTTCAAAGAGGGCCGTCCACCGCCAGCTGCGTTCTGGGAGGGGAGCGGGCTGGGAAACCTGATCAGAAGGAATGTGTGACTCCAGGCGTGCGCAGGCGCCGTCCCAGGGCGGAAACCACCACTGGCTGCAGCGTCACCATCTGAAGAGTCTTTAATGTCCTTAAAAGCACCCACGTTTTTATTGGGCTTTTTGATTCAGTAGCAAAAGCCACTCTGTGTTGCTTGTCTGGAAGGGAGGATGAGAAAGTTTCGTGCTGTGCAGGACCCAGGCTGAGGTTTGGTGACATGGGAACAATCTCAGGGCAGCATGGAACTGGGGGGATCAGAACAGGAGGGGGTGCAGGGGACTGTATCCCAGTTCAGCTGAGCCACTGTGTGTCTTTGGGCAAGTTGTATCAGTGTGAGCTTTACAACAACAGCCATCTTTTTTCTTTTGTGTCTCATATTGCATGGTGAGACCAAGAGACCCTTGAAGGCCCTTCAAGTCTGATATTTTATGTTTCTAGGCTCCAAGTGCCAGATGTTAGTTGAATCTCTTGGATTAAATGGAGCACACTCTTCATAATCATGTCTAAAATTCAGCCTTCCAAATCCTGGAGCCTAGTCTGGAAGAAGAGGAGCGAGATGCTTTTTTACTGGGCATATGCAGGCTCAGAACAAAGACAATGGCAGAGGGGTTGCCTGGCTAGCAAGGGCCTCCTGGGGACAGGGTCACAGAGAGAACCAGTTGGGGGAAGGAGCAGGTCAGGTGAAGATAGCTGGCATGGTGCAGGGTCAAGGGACAGCTCTGAGAAAGGAGACACCTAAGAAAGCCAAAATGCCAAACGCAGAGAAGCTGGGACAGGGCAGGGTGAGGTCACTGGAATGAGGCAGTGACTGACAGCATGGGGCTGTGACCAGGGCAGGGGCAGACTGGCCTTGGTGAGAAGATGGACACCTCTTCCACTGCACGGAGGAAGTCTGTGGGTGCTTTGGCCTTGACTCTCAGAGAAATGTGAATAACCGTCATGGCTAAGCTGGGGGTGGGGCAGGATTTCTGAGGTCTGCAGGGCTCACCCTGGAGGGACCTGAGACTGCAGCTGTGTCCAGGGCTCAGGTGGAGAGTCGCAGGAAGATTGATGGAGGCGATGGCCTCTCAAGGAGTCAGGCAGAGGGATAAACAGTGATGACTGGGGTTATGTACGGCTTGGTGCCCCTCCCAAGCCAGGGCCAGTCTGTGTGGGCCCCAGTCTCATTGCTTCTTGGTTTCTCTGCCTGCATTTGGTACCTTGTGAGGCTTTTGGGTGGAGGAGTCACACATTTGTTTCTTACAGGGCTTGGATTTTCTGGGATAGAAGTGTCCCTGGACTCACCTACATGGGTAATGAGATTTGGGGCTAAGGGCAAAGTGGAGATGTCCTGGGATGGACCCCAAACACATGATTTTATTGCCTCCTCACTGAAGAACTTGAATCTCCTGAGGTCATACAATTCAGATCCTGCTCAAGAATCTCACTCAGTGTGTTCAAGGCTGTGTGTGCTCTCCTCCAAAAACAGAATTGGCCTGATCCCCGAGGAAGCTCCTGAGTTGGGAACATTCAGCCTCACCCTTCCTAGAGGGGCAGTAACTGTCCTCATGCTTCCCTTCCAGATCCAGCTGTGACTGCTCCTGATGTAAGAGTCCCAAATCAACCTTCATCTTAGTTCAGGGGAGTATTGATTGGAGTGTGTGAGAAGGCACCAGGATAGAGTAAAAGAGGAATTAGATTTCCTTTGCAGTTTGGAAGCTGATCTTGGTAATCACCACAAGACAGTAAGAGAAGCTGGGCTCTTCTGTGGAGCCGGTGTGGGGCACAAAATTAGATCAGGGGAAATGAGGGGTGATGTGGACAGCAGCCTCCTTCCCTTTCACTGGGGAGGAGAGAGCACTCAGAGGGCTTAGAATTCAAATCAATTCCCATTACATTTTTGACTAATTTGGTTTGCAGTTTCTTTCAGCTTGAATGGAGGTGCAATAAAAGCCAACACATCCTGGTTTGAGGCCTAGAGGGACCCTCGGAATGGGAAAGACTCATCCCATTTCCTGGGTGAGGGAGAGAGAGGCCTGGGTCTTGTGATGGATAAGGTTGATTCTGCCCAGGGTGGCCCATGTTGCTCCTGGAGGGCTTGGGAACTAACAAGTTCCTGGTCACACTAGGACAATACGTGCTCCTATCCAGCTGGAACCTAATTCTTGGCTCTAATTCTGCCTCTCCCAACCCCAGAGTCCTGGATGCCTGCTGTGGACAGGCACATGGATTGCACGACTCATTTGACCCTGGGGGCTTCCCTTGGAGGGAGACTCCTGCTCATGGGTGAGTAAGCAGAGGCTCAGGAAGGAACCTTGACTTACTGCTGTTCATGAAGCGTCGGGGGTGTGTAGTGGGTTGAAGAGTATACCCCCAAAATGATACATCTACTTCTAATCCCATTTCCTGCAAATGTGACCTTATTTGATGTTCATAGATGTCATTAGGGATCTCAAGATGTAGTCATCCTGGATTGAGGGTGGGCCGTGATCTAATGCCTGTGTTGTAAGAGAAAGGAAAGGAAGTTTGAGGGAGATGCTAAGGGAAAGTGCTTGAAGACAGGCAGAGGCTGGAGTGATGTAGCCACAGTCAGGGACTCCTGGCACCCCAGAAGCTGGAAGACAAAGGAAGGGTCCTCTGCATGGCTGCGTTCTTGCCCCAAAGCAGGGGCCAGGCTTGTCATTGCCACTAGGCACTTATGGGTGACAAGGGAAGAGCAAGTGGAGAACAGTGGTGATAGGGCCCTTCACATCCTGGGGTCCTCAGAACATTGACTTGGGGCTATCCAGGGAGGCTGGAGGGGGCTCCCCACCCCAGAACCTCAGGCCTACCTAGTGGCTCTCATATTCCTCCTCTTGCTTGTGACCAGCCTGACCAGGTAGGTCCTCACCAGCCTCCTTCCACACAAAGCCTCTGTGCAGGACAAGATGAGCAGTCTGAACTATGATGGGGGAGGACCCTGCAGTAGAGAGATGGAGTCCCTACAAGGTCACAGTGCAACAGGGGCCAGGGCAGGCTGAACCCAGTCACACTTTTGACTACCACATGAGCTGTCCCCCTAGCTCCTGCCTTATCCTCTGGGCCCAGTCTTCCCACTGGGCTGTCTTCCTCCTTCAACCCCTGAGAACCTCTTAGAATGAAGCCCAGCTCCACCCTGGAACCCAGCTCCCAGCTCTACTGCCTAACCGCTGCCACTCTGTCCCAGCTTGGGTTTTATTTGGCCCTGTGTGTTCCCACCCTATGTTTCATCCACACCATCAAGATCAGGCAGCATCTCATTCAGTTCCACGCCACTGGTCATGAATTTGGAGCTGGTCCAGAGAGGGCTCTCCATATGTGGATGTGGACCAGGCCTATGGGGGCTCAGAGCAGAAGGTAACACAGGGCCACCCAAACAGTGACAGCAGTGCATTCACCATGCACGGGCCCTTCTGAGCTGTGGGCTGAGCAACAGTGCAGGTGGCCACTGTGGTGCTGGCCTAGCTGGGAATATTTAGGGAGGGATGGTGCTGTCCACGTGTGCTGGGATGGGATGGGGGATTCCCCTGCCTTTGGGGTACCGGTGTGGCTTCCCGCTCATCTCAGCAGCTCCGAGGCCCACCCATGTCTTCTTAGTGTTTTAATTTCTCAGGCATCTGAACAGGGCTGTGCGAACCAGCACCTACTCGGGTCATTTGACTCATCCAAGTGTTGTTAGCTGCTAATTATAATTAAATATTTCATGAGCTGTTTCTTATCTTCTTAATTAAAATAATTATGATTAATGGAGTGGATGGCAGCAAACTCTGATGCTCAGGAATGCAATGTAGTACCCAAACCCTGCTCCCGGCAGGCAGTTCCAGGGTGGTCATCTTGGCCCCTAGAGCCAGTCTGCCCCCTGCTGAGGGGAAGGGAGGACAGAGCTGCTGTTGCCTCGTCTCCTGCAGTGACTTTTGGGCTGCTCAGCAGCAAGCTGCAGTGTTCAGAACATGGTTCCATTCCAGACAGGCGTGAGGGTGGAAGTCCGGGCAGAGGCCGGAAAGACGCCCCCACTGATGCCTACAGGGTGGCAGTGACCCATGGGCTTCGTTCCTGTACATCTGCTTGTCCTGGCCTGTAGTGAGTGTCTAGATGTGGTCACCCGGCTCTTTTACCCTTTACAAAGCCCTAGCTGAATCACCGTGACTCTGAGGCAGGGTCACAGTGTCACCTCCCACCCGTGTCTGGGCTGTGTCTTACGAGAAGCGGAGGAGGGGCATGCACCAGGGGTGATAAGCCAGGGCTCAGCAGGAACACAGCCCCAGGCCTTTGTGGGCCAGTGGCCTCCCACTCCATCCTGGATGTGCAGATTGAATCCTGCACTTGGGAGGCAGAGGTCAGCCTATTCTGGAATTGGGACCCCCCCCCACCCCTGAAGAAGCCTTAGATTGGGGTGGTGGCCTCTGCGTCTGTTTTGTGAGGTCTCCAGGCCTTGAGATGGAGAGAGCCACCAGATACAGAGAACAAGGTCCGGCCACACATGTCACTCAGGTCACTCATAATGATGTCAGGGACAGCCCAGCATGAGTCATGGTCTTGGGCCAAGCTGGCCCTGCAAAACTGAACATTTAGTCATTCCCTGCCCAGAGATGGCCTCCTGCAGACCCGTCATCTGCTTAGGCTGGACTGGGGCTGGTCACAGCCCTACCCCTTCTTGGCCAGCCATTTGTCCTCAAGGGCCCTCCATAGCTGGGTGGGAGGCAAGGTAGAGTGGGGCTCTGCTCATGGCCAGTGAGATGCCCGCTAGGACCTGCTGCTGAGCCCTAGCGGTCCCCTTGGCCAGCCCCAGCTCTGGTGTCCCACCACAGGTGGAGAAAGAATGGGGCACAGTGTGGGGGTCAGGAATGGTGGTCTGCCAGCTGAAGATGGGCCCCTCAGTCCCATCCTCCTCTGGTGCTGGCTCTGATCACCATGGCAAGGGCCGCTGGAGCGAAGATCTTCTCCGTCCTCATCCTAGACAGAGTCCTGGGGCTGCAGCTGCTGTGGGTTGTGTCCACTCAGGCTCCTCTCTCCCAGGATATTCCTTCACAGCTGACAGAGGCAGGGGATCCCCTCCATGGCTCCTTGGCACTCCTCCCACTGGGCTGGGAAGAAACTTCCACCACCCTTTCTAGACTGTGACTTGATTTGGTGGTGAGAAGCACCCTCTGATTTGCCAGTCCTCTAGGAGCGGAGCCTCTCACTCCTTCCCCTGAAACGGTGTCCTCGGCATACGTAGTCCTCAGAACTGCTGGCTGGTTGCCCCTACCAGAACTGACTGAGGCAAGGCCAGCTGCCCTTGGCCAAGTTCAAAGGACTTGCCTCACTGGTGGATCAAAGAGCAGGTTACTTCCTGGAGGTAGATGGGGAAAGGAGGTGGAGAGGAGTAAAACCCTGCAGTAAATGCATTTGTTCAGCATTTATAGAAATGAACCGGGCCTGTTTGCAGGTTAGGGGAGTGAGCACGGGGGCCCATCTCCACCAGGCTACCCAGCATGGCCCTGTTCCAGCAGGTGGGAGGGAACTTGGCTGTGTGGACAAGCCCTTCAAGGTGCTGGAGAAGCTGAATGGGCAGATAGGGAGCCACACAGCCTGGTGACCTCAGGGCTGCCTGGTGCTCAGCAGGTTAACTGTTAAGTCCAGAAACTGCCATGAGGATGGGCAGTCTAGGAGGGGGGCTGGAACAGAGTGTTTACATCCATAGGAGTGACAAACACCAGTTAGCCATGGGGCAGCAGGGAGAGTCCATCATGATGGACCCCACCCGTCCATGTGTTCCCTGTGGCCCCCTCTGGGAGAGCAGGACCTGAGACTAGCTTCCACCCACAGCACATGCACAAAGGAGGATGGGCGTCACTTCTGTGATGACTTTCCGTTACATAGGTCCATCTTAGTCTGGTGCCAGAGACCTGGGAAGGAAGTGGTTATCCTGGAGACCACACAGCATAGAAATCTATAGATGGCCTCTCAGACCTGTGCCTCTCCAGGCTGGTGGGCCTCAGTCTCACCATCACAAGCAAATGAATCCTGATGAATTCCTGTCCTGCATCCAGGTGAGGACACGCTGTGGCCACAACTGCCTGGACTGCAGCCCAGTGAGATGCTCAGCAGACGGCTCCTGAGCTGTGCCTGGACTTAGGACCTAGCATCTCTGAGACAATAGTCGTGGTACTTGAAGTGACCGAAGGTGTGGTCCCTTGTGAGCTTGGGCATCTGGTAGGTGCAAGTGAGGACCTGGCTCTGCTCTCGCTCTGGATGGCGTGGTAAGGCCGTTGACTCTGCCCCACCACATTCAACTGGGTATAATGGCAGAGCCCTCCAGGGTTGATGTTGAGATGAAACGGGAAATTTGTGGACAGTCCAGTGCAGTCCTGGTTCTGGGGACAGGAGTAGGCATCTTGTAGTCACTGGAGCAATGGTGGAGAAGCCAAGCCAGTTCTCTCCCTTCAAAGCCAGGTCAGCCCTGTGGAGGGCAGGCAGGGCCTGCCAGGTGTGATCTGGCTGACTTGGGGCAGGATGGCCTCTGTTACCTGGTCAGGAAGACACATCACTCCCATGTTTCTCCAAATGTCAGCTCAGACCTAGTGCACACCCAGACTCACGGCCCACTGCTCTGGATATTGACCTGGCCCCTGACATGGGACAAGAAGGAAACAGTTGGGTAGGAGAAATGGCAGGTGACACTTTCCCAAGTAAGTCCATGGATTGATTCACTTGAGATAAGCCCTGGGGGCTATGTCTCCAGGGTCACCTTCCTCTCAGGGTTGTCTCCCTGCCAGTGAGTAACTGTTGTAGGCACCTAGGGATGGAAGTTAACTGCGGGAGGTCCCTCCTGAGGACAGGCTGAGCTCTGTCCCTGAATCCCACACATATGGCTCCTTGTTGTAGCTCCTGGCCCGTGGCTGGCTGATTTGAAGGCCCATCTTCAGTGGAGCTCCCAGGGATGGTGGGTGGATGGGAAGCAGGAGCTCTTGCTTTCCTTTGACCTTTGTTCCAGAAGCTTGGGCAGGGCTGGCCTGTTTCCAGGTTGCAATCAGACTAGAGCCCCAAGCTTGGCATCAGCACAGCCCCTATTCCAGCAGTTTCTGAGGGGCTTCTCACTGCCTCAAAGAGACCTTGCATTTTACAGGGTAGCTGGGTCCATCCTGTGGGCACTGAGCCCAGTCTCCCCCTTAGGGGACCGTCAGCTTCTGAAGGACCCACAGAGACATGCTTGGGACATGTGTCCAAAACTCTCATCTCCATCTTTCTGAGTAGACAGAGGGTCTCGAGAGAATGGCCAGGATGGCCTGGAGCCCCCCAGCTCTGTCTCCTGCAGCAGACAGACCTATCATGGTGCCGCTTGGCCCCAAACTGGGTCTTTAAAGGTGAGCAGGACTGCCCAGGAGGGGCTGGGCACTGCGGACTGATCCCCAGAGGGCAATCCCAGCAAGAGCTGCCCCACCTTCCCTTGTTTGCAAGTGTTGGCTTCCAGAAACTCCCCACTCCTCCCCTTTTGCAACCTCTCCAGAACAAGTTTTCCCAGGTAGGACCCCCCCTCTTTCACACCCTGGGGTGGATTTTCCCGCAGAATCTACAGACACATTTGTCCTTGTAGTTGCCATCAGGGAAATCAACACACATGGAGGGTTTTGAAATTTCTAGAAGCTTTTATACCGGAACACAAACAGATGAGCTGAACTCCAGGAGTTGCAGGCTGAAGTGCTGAGAAGCCACAGTGCGGGGCGGGGGCCCAGGAGGACCACGGGAAGCCAGGCCTGTTCCTTCCTTGGCAACCAGCTGTTGAAATCCAGCCCATCTACCAAGCTCAGCTTCAATGACACCACTGCTAGACAGCTCTCCAGGGTTTCCTTCCCATCTCTTCCCTGCCACGGTGTTCCCCTTCATGCTGCCCCATTTCCTCCGGTGTCCTGTCTCGAGGATGTGCTCAGGTGACTTTCCCCACAGGGAGGGGCAGAGATTCTCTTACTACTGATCTCAGACACAGTAGAGTGCAATATATCCAGGAGAGGGACACCACTGGGGTAGAATGGGACTGTCCCCATCGCCTCACTAGGTCACAGAGTTTGGCTGAAGTCAGGAGGACACCTCTCCTTCCCCACGTGTCCACACTAGCCAGCTGCATATGTGCTGTCTTACCTGCCCCCTCCCTGCCTGTTACCCCACACACCTGGTCCTCAGCCTGGGGCGGGTCAGGCTAATGTCCCGCTCTTCCTGGATGCACATAGGGAGGAGAGAGAAGTAGTGGCCATTTGCCATTGGCCTTGCTGTCTGCCGGCTTTGCAGAAGACACTCACTTGCAGGTGTGCTGCCAGCATTAGGCAGACTGCTCTGGGGTCTGAGGACACTGTAGGGAGGACACGGATCCCTGCCCTCCAGGAGCAGCAGAGGTGACGTCACTGTGCCACTCTGCATTCTCTATCCCTGGGGCCCCTTTGATAAGGAAGGGACATGGGATAAGTTCTGGCCTCTGGACATGGGGCAAAAGTGACACGTATCTGAAGGCTTTAGGATGGACTATGACTCTGTGTCTGTCTCTATGGCAAGCACGGATAGCCATGGATGTGGTGGGGCTTTCATGAGCCTGGGTCCTGGGGTACACGAAGCACCCCACATCCCATCTACCCTAGGCAGGGATGGAAACGAGCACAGGAAATACATGTCAACCCAACCACAAAGAATCCACAGGCTAATTTGTCATTACAGCACAACCCAGTCTCACCTGACTAACACCTGGAGGAAGGTGAACAGTGAACACACAGTTGACAAATCAGGTAACATGTAGAGATTCAAAGTCTTCACAAAGAAACTGGGGGAGGGGCAGCACCTGCTGGCAGGGCTGCTGTCTTAGGGACCTAGGCGCTGTCACCACTTTGGAGCCTCTGCTACAGGCTAAATCTAGCCCATGCCCTGGACACAGCAGGGTGCAGTAAATAAAGGGGAGAATCTTTGTAAATAAAGTTTTATTGGAGCAGAGCTGTGCCTACTTATGTTACAAGAACTGACAAGTTGCAACAGAGACCCAGGGCCTGCAAAGCTCAAAGTAATCGCTCTGACTTTTCACTGTGACCCCTACCCTATACCTCCCTCCCCCGAGTCTCCGGCGACTTGAAAACTCTGGTGGCTTCTGTAAGGCCTGCAGCTCCACCCAGGTATCACCAAGCTGCCTCTTGCCCTGGGGCCCTCTTTGGCACTGTGCACTGGGTCACAGTGGTGCTGGCCTCCCACAGCTGTACAAACAATAGTGGCAGGTCTGGACACTCCAGCAGGGTCTTCTCCATGACGGACTGTCTGAGAGACCCTCAGGAGACCTTTGAGGGAAGCAAAGTGTCAGTCCTGCTTGGTGTCCTCTGGCATCTGGCTTGGGGTGTGCTTTCTTTTGCCCCCTTACTCCAAGTCTCTGCTCCCCGAGCCACTCCCTGCCTCTGTAGGAATTTTTTTGTTGGCACTGTTGGCTGACACACCTGTCTGAGCAAGGCAGGTGGGCAGGAAGGCCGGGAAGAGTGACATGGAAGGACGTCAGGAAGAAGTCATAAAACTGTCATAAGGAGGAATGGTCCAGGGGACAAGAATAGTGGATGCAAAAGCCTTGAACCCCAAATAAGGAGCCCATAAGGCTGCATTCTGGGGACCATGGAGAGGAGAGAGGCAAGTGGGCCCAGGGCAGGAGTCAGGGCCCTGCAGACTGGAGCCTTGCTGGCATTGAAGACTCGAGCCTTGACTCTGAAATGGAGCAGGTTGGAGGGGCTGAGGAAAAGCCTGCACATCGTCTGTCTCCCTTTCCACAGGATCTGTGCCATAGAGAACAGACCTCAGGCCACAGTGGGCCAAGGCGGGAGACCACTCCCGCCTACCACTTGAAGCTACCACAATGGAGAGGTTCTAAATTTGTCCAGAAGCAGAGACTGCAGGTCTGCTGATGGGCTGGACGAGTCTGAAGAGGAGTCGGGATACACGGTTTGAACTTCTCCTGGCACCATCCATGTCCTGGATAGGAAGAGGAGAGGAGGCCAGGTCTGGGCTGCGGTGCTGGAGGAATCAGGCTTCTAGTTTTGATTCTTGAAGCGTGAGACCCTGTGGGGAGATGACCCACCTGCAGAGGGGTGGTGAAGCCCCCAGTGCATGAAGCTGCATGTACATGAACTGGCTTTTGTGGGGACGGGGCTGCCCCTTGGCCTGGAGCCAGCCAAACGGACAGTCAGGCCCTGTAGCACAAATGGTGGGGGTAGTGGGGTGGCAAGGTTGTTGGCAGGGTCCAGGGTAGGATGGGAAGAGTGAGTCTTTGTGGAGCATGGTGGCATGTGCCTGTAATCCCAGCTACTCAGGAGGCTGAGGTAGGAGGATCCTTGAGTCCAGGAGTTTGCGACCAACTTGGGCAACATAGCGAGATTCTCTCTCTCTCTCTCTCTCTCTCTCTCTCTGCATGTGCATGCATGCTTGTGTGTATTGGAGTGTCAGGAGCCATCGAGATGCCAGGCTGCAGCGTCCCTCTGATTCTACTGCTGCCTCCCCGAGACGGGGCTCCACCTGGAAGCTGCAGCCCGACCTGGTGGGCAGAGGAACCCACGTTAGAGACTCAGGATGCCTGAGCACGCCCACCCCACCTGAGCCCCCTAGGCAGCTGAGAAGTTAGTTTCCAAACAATGCCTCTCCCCCATCTGTGCATCCTGTGGTCCCCACTAGCTCTGGATTCTCAGATCCTCCCCCGCAGCCCCGCTGTCCAGCTGCTCGGAAAAAGTCTTCCCGGACAACTGCTGCATGTCTTATGTGTTTCCCACGGGAGCGGCAACCACAGGCCTGAGCCCCAGGAGGGCTGCAGACTTGTTTGCACGACTAGGAGAGTTTGTTTTATTATGAAAACAACAATTTTAAGGAAGGTTGTCAGGGACAACTTGGAATGGCACAGTGAAAGGATCCTGGTGGACTAGATAAAGGGTTTGATGTTCCTGGAGGCATTTAAACTGGTTCCTGGCTCCAGAGAGGTCTTTGGTCTTTAGCCCAACTTCTCAGTTTATGGCCCCCAAACCACAGCTCAGAGAGGGTGGGGCATCTCTAGCCTGCATATTGGTACTGAATTAGCTGATAAGTAAGGACTTCCTTAACCACACCCAATGCTTACATGGGGGGGGACTCACGGAGGTCACACTTCCTCTTGCCGAGATGAAATGCACAACACAGGAAATAGGGGGAAACCTATTATCATTCCTAAGCAATTATTTACCTGAGACAAAAAAGTATAGTTTAAATGTCTTTCCAATAGATTCTTAATTTTTGGTGTCAGAATGAAAGCCAGGCATGTGCTCCAACCCTGAGTTACACGCCAGCCCTCCAGTAGAACTCTCCATCCGCAAATCTGGCTGTAAATAAGATCTATGCTTACATCTGTTTACGGGTAGTTTTCTATACACCAAAAAATAGCCGGGAAGAAAGAGCAAATAATTGAATTCAAACTTACCATATAAATAAATCACCTAAGAAAAGCCTTACCAGGAAGTCCCTGGGCTCCAAGAGGAAAGTTACAAAGCTGCAGGTCTTTGTCGTGTGGGCTCTAACAAGAGGCCACACATATCCTGCCTTTAGCAGCAAGTGCTCGCTCAGCACCGGAAGCTGGGAACCTGGGGTCAGGTGCCACAGGTCTGCTCTCACGTCCCCGTGCTGTAGTGCAGGACAGAGGGAGTGAAGCAGGCGCTCTGTCCCTTCTGCTCGACACTGATCTCACTTGTGGGAGCTCCACCCTTATGGCCTAACCCATAAAGGCCCCACCTCCAAACACAGTCACATCAGGGTGCAGGCTTCAGTAGTGGGGGAGTGTGGGGAGACAGACCTCAGTCCGTGGCTCCCTACCCACTGCTAGCTGTGAAGGACAGTCTGTAAAGGGGGCACCTGGCATGACAGATGGGGACCAGCTGCTGTCCAGGGCCAGTTCTCCCAGGTGACACATAGGCTTGATTCTATTACCATGGAAGTGGCAGGAGGAAGGCTTGATAAACAACTCTAATATAAAGAAATGGCAAAAAAAAAAAAAAAAAGAAAAGGAAGAGAAAAAGGAAGGAAGGAGGGAGGGAGGGAAGAGAAAAGGAGGGAAAGGAAAGGAGGGAGGGAGGGAAGGAAGAGAAGGAGGGAGAGAAGGAGGGAAGGAAGGGAGGAGGGAGGAAGGAAGGAGGGAGAGAGGGCGGGAGGGAGGGAGAGGAGGGAATGAGGGAAGAAAGGAGGGGAGGGAAGGGAAAGAAGGAAGGAGGAAAGAAAGGAAGGAAGGGAAGGAAGGAAGGAGGGAAGGAGGGGAGGGAAGGGAAGGAGGGAAGGAAGGAAGATAATCAGGTGGCAGGAGGACTGATCGCAACAAAACGTGAACAAGGAGACCCTTTGAGGACAGGAGAGGCAGGAGAGTGGCCTGCCGC